TTTGCTTCAGTCACTGAAGAAAAGCTTTGTGTTACATGCAGCCAAACACTATCATAACTGATGTGCTTTGCTACCACTCATCATTCATTCCCTGAACTTTTACTGAGGGCTTTTTCTCGCCAGTCCTTGTACTGGAGCTTCAGAGAGGAGCTGGGTATTGTCCCTGCCCTCCAGGGGCTCCCATCACACCAGGGAGAAAGGCCTGTGAGCAGACAATCAGAATGCAGTCAGAACTGACGCTGTGATGACGCATGATGTCCTAGGGGAGTGTGAGCATTGGGCAGTGGGCTAGCATGGAGGTGAGGGAGTTCCTGGCTCCCCTTCTGGCATTCAGCACACAGAGTAAACACTTCGCAAGCTAAAAAGCAAGGAAAAAGGATGCGCTACCCTTAGCCAAGCCAACTGCGATTACTTACTGTAAGTAGAGTCGTTAAGCACCATCAATTAATGCAGCTGCTTCAAGATAATCAGCAGTCATTAGAGCAAGAAGCACGAGAGGAGAAAATAAAAATCACATGCTGCTAACTCAGAAATGCTGGAAATTATGTGAACCGAGGATGAGACAGGCTTGCTGAGATCCTCCTGCCTGCTGACGTTAGCCATCTCCAAAAATATACTTTCTTTCTCAAAGAAGACACGGCAATTTTTTACCCAGAAAATCAAGCATCCACGCCATGCCCTTTGACCACAAATGCCCAAGCTTTGATTTTTCAGGTCTGTGTTTCCATTAGGAACTGTAATGGAGACACATGAGTGACAAAAGAGGACCCGGTCTGGGAAATCAAGACCAGAGAAGTTAGAGCACCTGGGAAGCCATCTGTAGAACAGAGAAAAGATTTTCCCTCTTTTAACTCAATTCTTCCTATGTACAAATGATTGGAATGATTTGCCATTTCTTTATTTTACAAGTGCAGGGCAAGTAGTTTAAAAAAAACACAAAACCTCATTCACTTCAAATTCCAGTACAGTTGACCCTTGAACAACATGGGTTTGAACTGCTTGGGTCCACTGATACACAGATTTTCTTCTGCCTCCGCCACCCCCGAGACAGCAAGACCAATCCCTCCTCTTCCTCCTCCTCCTCAGCCTACTCAGCATGACAACGACGAGGAGGAAGACCTTTGTGATGTTCCACTTCCACTTAATGAATAGTAAGTATATTTTTTCTTACTTATAATTTTCCTAATAATATTATCTTTTCTGTAGCTTACTTTATTGTAAGAATATAACACATAATACATGTAATATATAAAATATGTGTTAATCAACTGTTTATGTTATGGGCAACGCCACCAAGGTCAACAGTAGGTTGTTAATAGTTATATTTTTAGGGATTCAAAAACTTTATGTGGATTTTAGACTGTGCAGGGGGGTTGGTGGCCCTAGCTCCCGAGTTGTTCAAGGGTCAACTGTAGTTTAAAAATGAATAAAAATAAGCTGGCTGCCCATTAAGATAACGTATTGTCGGTTTTCAGTCTGACTGCTGACAAATTGGTATGAAGTATTCCAGAGTACAAGGTGTGCTAATCACACTCAGATCAGGCAGAGAAGAGCCCAAGTTCCTGCAGCAGCAACCACAGAAGGGTTCTCTCATCCACGGCCAGTCGCAGGAGGCTCCGTGCCAGCTCCATGATGGCAGGTGCTAGCAGGGCAGGCTGCCATGTGGGAACCTCTCTGTAGGATGCCCAGAGCAAGGGAGGGCAAGGTCTGAGGAGCAGGGACTTCTCATTCCAGCTCCAGGAAGTAAAGCCATGCCTCTCAATGTAGTATCTTCAGGTCAAAAAGGTTCCAACTCTGACAGCCACAGGAAACGTGGTGTTCTGGCTTCCTGCCTCTGGGTAGTCCCCACCTGCCCTCAAGAGCAGCTGTGCTATTTTTTGCACAGAGCACAGGGTCTCTGATGGTATCGAGGCTTCTGGGGCTGCTGAGGAGCCAGTCCAGAACAGGACCAGGGCAGCACTCTACCAACCAGGACCAAGAACAGTGCCGGCAAACCCTGAGTATATATTGAGTCTGTGGTCCCTTGTCACACTGCCCACTAACAACCCATGGCCAAGAGTAATAGCTAAAACATCAACAGCCATCATGAGTCCAACACAAACCAATCGAAATGCGTGCCTGTCTTAAACAGCTGGCAAGATCACGCGACACCAGGGCATACCAGCCGAGATCAACACCCTGCCCAAGCATTGTCAACCCCTTGCAGGCCACACCCCAGTCTCTCAGGGCCATAAGAAGTGGGCAAGAGCCTGGAAATACGACCGCACTGACTTTCCTGTCCTTCAGGGTGAACTTCATGTGCTCTGTTCCATGAGGACAGAGACTGTATGTGTTTTATCCATTATTCTATATCCATCATCTCAGTGCAATTGGTTGGCACCCAAAATGTATTTTTAAGGAATAAATTAATAGGAATAGCTGCTAACTCTTTTAAGCACTGCTCTAAATCCCTGTCACATACAATCTCATTTCAGCTCTGCAACAATACCATGAAGTAGGTATTATCATCACCCCAATTTTACAAATAAAGAAACTGAGGCCCCCCAAATTAAGTAACTTGCCCGAGGGTACAAGGCTAGTAATGGTAGATCCAGAATTCAAAGCCAGTCTGGCCTCAGAATCTATACTCTTAGCCACTGCACTGTGCTGAATACACAAGCAAACTCAGGTACTCTAATATTAGGAATTAATAGCAGAGAACCTCTGATATCCACAAACCTTGATAAATCCTTCCAAGAAATTTCTGGTGGTACTTCACACACACTGTTCTTGTTTGTTTGCTTGACTTGCAGAACATTTTAGAGAAAACCAATACATACTTTTACCTCTAAGCAGGAGACTACCTGTAATTTTCAAATAACTCTGTAACCACGTTTGGTTATCAAGCAACTACAGCTGGAATATCCAGGTTTACATAGTATTTCTCTGCTCAAGAGATCTGAATTCTAGAGGAAGTCTTTTAATCACTCTGAGGTCTTCTCTCCCCATTTCTAAGAAAATCCCAGGCTTGCTGGAAGGATTGAATGAGATCATGGACATAGTTGCCTATTTATATGGTAAGATACTGACTGTATAAACACAATATATGATCCTAATAATTAATATAATGCGTAAAACAACTTGGATCAAAATTTCTATACTTAATCTTTGTCAAAATTTTTACACTTGTCTATACTTTCAAGAAAGTTCATATTTATATCTATGTTTTAGTAACTATATTTAAAGCTTAATAGTGTATTTGTGTAAGTCTGTGTCCCACCACTATTAGTTCTGAGCTTCTAAACATTTCTACTATAACTTTAATAATTTTCTCTACTAATCTAACTGCCTCTTTCATTTCAGAAGCATAAAGAATTAACAAGACAGTAAATGTTTCATTCTAGCTTCAGATTCTCCTATATTTGCAGATGACAAAATTAGCAAGAAAGAGCTTCATTTTATTTTATAGTTAAAAAGCTCAAAATGATACTGCTGTATCTTTGAAGGCCTGAAAGTTGGTGTTGGATCCAAGAATGAAGTAGTCCTAGGAAAATGAGCTGTGGTTTTGTTGGTTGGAAAGACACATGTCTCCAACTAACTGAGGGGCAGTACAAATAATCACATTTGAACTATTTGTAAATTTGGTGTAAATGATGGCTCTAACCCCAAACAGAAGAGGAGAGGAGGAAGTGTGGGTGTTAAAACCAGGTGTAATAATATTCATCCTTAGTATGTTTTTTAAAGCTCTAGTTTCTATGCTATTGATTACAACTTTCCTAAGGCAGCTGGTCACACAGAGAGGCACAGAGGGTAGCAAGCAGGTGACAAAAGGATGCCTTGTAAACAGAAACATGAATGTATAAGTTGGGGAAGTAACTCTGCAAATATGAAGAGAATTTTTAAGTTCTTACAGTCTCTACTACTAGATGTTTGAGTTCCCCAAACTCTCCTCCACCCCAGAGTACCCAACAAAGAGGGGGCGCTGCCGCTGTGCAGAAGGATGGGGGTGAGGGGTGGAGGGATGAACCCATGCCTGCACAGATGACCCAGTCAAGGGCACATGTCAAAGCCTGCCTCCTGGCTGTAGGAACTGCTCTGCAAATCTCCTCCAAGTTCTTTTTTCATGTCTTTTTAATCATTAACTTCTCCATGTTCCTGGGATTGTTCCTCTCTTCATGAGACTGATCTTTTTCCAAAAGCCAATGACTTCCTCAATCAAAGTCTAAGAAGAAGGATCAGAGCCACCTCCAGGTTCTGGGGGCAGAAGGTAGGTAGGCTGGAGTTTGGGGCTCAGTTAAGTGACCCGGACCTTCAGCCTTTTGGACCCAGAGCAGACCCTGCCATACGTTCTAGGTTCGCAGGCACCTCCTCATGGCTGCCCTGCACTATCTCTAGGGAGGGGCTCCAAGGGGCCGAGTCTACCTGTGAGGGCGTGCAGCAGGTTCAACAAGGGTCCCTGGGAGGCTGCTTGTACTTCAAGGCCCACCATCCTCCTAGAAAGCCATTCCCTCTTCTTTACCCCCTAATAAGTACAGGTGCACAGACCTTCTGAGCCTCTGCTCCTTTTGTCACTTCCCTGACTCTCCCCTCAGCATCTCAGGTATGATGTGGCTCCCCCAGGCCAAACCACCAATCTTGGCTCAAGCCACCATTTCCAATGATGGCACATTCCTCATTCAGAATCTTAAAACAGCTCGGCACCCTCCCACCGTGCTAAGCCCAGCTCTCAGTTGGCTTTCAAGGCCTTCTAGAACCCAGAATGGTGGACCCAACAAACCTTATTTCAGGTTACTGGGAGCTATTTTTCCTATCTCAGTGACTTTTCTTCTAACTGGGAACCCCTACTCCAGAATGTGGGTGTACTTCCTTACCTACAAGCCAAGAACCTTGCCCCAGGATAGGTGCTGGAGCCAAAATCTCCGCCTGAATTTTCAGGACCTTGAATATTCTCCCATCCTTTCTCCTACCCACCTCCAGACAGTAGTATCCCTCTTTCTCCCTCCCCTCCCTTTCTCACTCACAGATTGTAGGCATTAATTAAACCTTTTCTAGAAAACAGATCTTTACCAGCTGCAGGAATTCTAAGGATGAGCCAGACCTGAAGACAGAGACAGTCTGGGGAAGAAAGATAAGCTCATGGTAGCCAGAGGCAGTGCGGGTTCCCACATCCAAGTGGCATTCTCAATTCTAGCCCTAGCGCATCAAAGATTCCTGAAAAAAGGGTGCATGGAGTGCTCCTACCCCCCTCAGCCTCTGGCTGTGCTCTCTAGGGCTGGCCTTTGACAGAGGCAGAAGAGCTACACCTGCCAGTGGGTCACAGCCATCTCTGACAGACCAAAGCACCTGCCAAAACACCAGCCCCCTCCTCCCAATAGAGCTGCAAACCATAATGCAAGAAATGTGGGAGAAGGGACAATCCCAGCCCTCCACCAGAAGCAGCTTCTGGATGGGCGGCACCCCCTGGAGTGAGGATGGTGCAATGTGAAGTGGCCAGTGGAGCTCTGCAAGTGACACCCTGTCTCCCTTGTAGATGCCAACGAGGGCTGGGACCACCGCTCTGGGCCCTTAACTGATAACAGCTTATCAGTTAAGCTGTGGTGGACTCACCCTGCAGCAGACAGCCTTAGTAGCTCCCCAGGGTGCCCAGCACCCCCCACCTCAATTTTGGGATGAGGACAACAGTTTTTCTTCATGGAAATTCTTGAGTTCCCACTGAGGTTACAGACCAGTCATCAGGGCCTGACCTGTAGATTGAGCTCCCTGTCTAAACACACACAAAAATGAGTGTGTCTCTAGTGAGATTATATGTTTTTTTTTAAATGTGTTAAATTTAAGGGTAACATTTTGAAAATAGTGTAGCAAAATGCAAAAACATAGGTTGTGGATTCAGACTGATTCAAGAGGGGGTTCCATTTCTTTACTCCACAAACATGGGGTACCTACCACATAAGGGTGCCAGGCAGGGGGCTGCGGCCAGAGATGGTCCCACCCATCTCTGCAGATGCTCCTGGACAGTGGGGCATCTGACAGTCAGCAACTCATCACAGAGCAGTCGGGTGAGGGCAGAGGAGAAGCCCATGGAATCTGTGGACACTCAGAAGGACCTTACTGAGCCCCAGTGTGTCCTTGGGCTAATTACTTACCTATTCAATGGTGAAAGAATATTGAGCTAATTACTAGTCAAGCTGATCAACAGAAAAAGAGTTGCAGATGCTGCAATTCCACAAATGCTCAGAATGCTGTGCTCCAAAGGCCAGGTGGTCCACCCTGAAACGGGTGCTCAAAGCAGCCTCCCAAGGCATCAGTGAGGGTGGGCTGGCCAAGAGCCAATCCCCCAAAGAGAAGTTTCCCCTACATGTCCTTTCTCTGAAATAGGCAATTAATTTAATCCAAGATTTAATGAAAGCCAGGGTAAGGGATGGGGCAGATTCACACACTGGCTTTCAGGCTGTGGCTGTGCATCTCCACCTCCCTCCAGGGACCACGAGGCTTTTCAAGCCATCTGCTGTCAACCCTCTTTCCACAGATGTCTGGACTAGGCGCCAATACCTCTGAGGAGGAGAAGTTGCTGCCAAGCCCGTCCACAGTCGCATCACGTTTGAAAAGGTGGGCTCAGCACTGCCTGCTCCACAACCATGGGCTTTCTGCAAATGTCAACAAATGTACCCAAGCGTGGAGCCCTCCCCGACCCTCCCTTGGCCATCCACCCCGAGACACACACACTTCCCATTCACAGCCCGATCTGATTCCACATCTCTCCTGATCTTACTTGTTGAATGCTTACAAAGCGCCGTTGCCTTTCCACGAAGACACTGGCCACCCAGGCGGTGATAGCCTCACTGCCCACGGAGCCCCTTCGCAACCGCTGAACGCACGGCTGACGCGGGAAAATATGGCTCCATGTCCTCCTGCACCGCTAATCCTTTGCTATCCACAGGTACAACTTGAAAGGCGGCTGCAGCCGCAAAGAAAGCAACCGCTAAGCAAATCCATTTTTGTGTGTATGACAAAGCCAGCTTGTTTAAAAGATCGAGACATAGACAAGTTCACCCAAAAAATCAACGCTGTGGGGTCTAAAGCACGCAGTCCCAACCTGAGCATCCAGGAATGCTAACCTGCGCGCGGCGCCGCCGCTCCGCCGGGCCCCGGACTCCGCGAGGCGCCAGGCGGCAGGTAGCTGCCCAGAGGAGCCAGCCCCACCCCCGGGAAAGGCCACGGAGAAGTTACGGCCGCCTTCCTACCTGGAGACTGGCCGCTTCGGGACTGCTCGGGAAAGGGGATTCCGGGAGCTGGAATCTGGGCTGGAATCAGGCGGCAGGGGTGCGGGGGCCGAGCGGGAGAAGGCTGGAGGGGCGGGGACGAGGCGGACGAGGCCCCGCAGCAGAGGCGCGGAGCTAGGGGTGGAGAAGCAGGAGGCACTGGGGTCGCGAGAGTCGCGGGGCGAGGGCTTGGGGAGAGAGCGGGGGATTTGCAGGGAAGGTTAGATCGCGCCGGGGCTTGGAGAGGGGCTGCGGGCGGGGGCTGGGACACAGGGCGCGCGGGGGGAGTGGCTTGGAGGGGGCGTAAGTCTGGGGCTAGGGTTTGGGGCCAGGCCGGGAAGGAGGAGGGGGCTTAGTCGCTGGGTTCGGACCCGATGCTTGCCCCAGCTTCCTCACCCCTGTCCCACTGGCGTGTTGGGGGGACCCTCTCAGTTTCCCAACCCCGGAGCCTGGACGCCCGCTCGCCTCCAGCTTCCGCGCCGCTCAAGCCCAACGGCAACCTCCCCAGCTCCGGCCCGCGCCGCACTCACCGCCCGTGGTCCCTTCGCAGCCCCAGCTCCGCCGCTGCGCGCCGGGCTCGGCGCTCGCCGCCAGCTCCTCCCGGCGCGAGGGGAGGCGAGGGCGGTGCGCGCGGGCCGCCAGCAGCGCGGGGTCCCGCAGCGCCCCCTGCCGACCCCGCCGCGCTCCGGTCCCGGCCCGCCCCGCGCCTGGCGCCCTGGAACTCCGCCCCAGAGGCGGCGTTGGGGTGCTGTCCCGCCGGGGCACTGGCCGCGGGGTTGGTAGTTTGCCGAGAGGACGCTGCCTCTGGGAGGCCAAACTCGCGTGCTAATTTGAGGAGATCACGGCGTGCGAAAGCCACGGGCACACACAGCCCGAGCGCGCGGAGACTGCGGCCACTGACGCGCAGGGCCGCCGAGCGCCTCACAATGCCGGACCTGGGATCCGGGCCAGCGCGGACGTGGGCCAAGGCCCGGGTCCACAGACCTGGCCCGGCTCGGGGCCCTGGTGTGGGTGCTTCAGGGCCCATGTGCCTGCCCGGCGCCGCCGATCCTGATGCCAGGGTGGGCGCGTGTGTTTGGGTTCCGCCGGCTGCCACGTGGACCCAAACTGTCACAATTCTCTGATTCTCGCCACCCTGCCGCCCCACCCCCTTCAGCCTATCCCACGCTTCTCTTCCGGCTCAGACCACATCCGGCCCTGTGTCAACCCCAGTCCTTGCTGCTGCTCAGTCTCCAGCAGCCTGCAGGCACCCGGTGAGGTCGCGGCCCTCGCAGCCTCCCTCTCCACCCCTTCCGCCCGCTCGGAGCAGCTCCTGAAGATCACGGAGCGCCGGACTGATACCTGTAACACCCTGTCGGACATCACCTAGGCGCGCGGTTGTACTTGGTTCGATCCCATATTGTGGGTCGTTTCTTGAAAATGTCGGATTCTGGCTGGTGGGGACTCCTGCAAAATTTCTGTGTGGGAGATGAGCTGACCTACAACGATAGCCAGGCCTGTGCTGGTCTGTCCTAGGTCCACTGTGACCCCTATGTGCCCTAGCACAACTGCTCTTGGGCCAAATAGAACTGGGTATTTGCTACTATTTACCTTTGAGGTGCACTTTCTCGAGAAGAGCTCATCACTTATTTCATTCCTTTGTTGATGGTTCTCAGATCCACACATTTGACCCAGATGTTTTACCCATATTTCCCCCGACTCTCTGGTTTTCTGTTTAGAACTTTCCACCTCAAATTACCACAGCCAGCACCAAATTCTGCCTCTTCCCAGCTCCCAACTCCATTTACCCCTGTGTCTCGCCATTCTGTCAGCCACCAGGGACACACCTTCGTTACCAGCAAACTTAATGGCCAGTCAGTGCCTGCGTCGGGCGGACGTCTGCTAACCTGCCCTTCTCTCCGTGCTCCCCGGATGCGACACTGTCCTCAGTACTCCTACTGCCGGGAACATTGACACAGCCTCTCCTGATCCATGAGCACAAATTCTTTTCACTGTCCCCTAGAGCATCACCCCAAACTCCGACCTGGCCCCTGAGGGCCTCTACAGCCCACCCCACCCCACACCACCCAACCTTTCTCCCCGTCCCTCTGCAGTCTGCTCCTGACTGTCCTCTCACTGATTCCAGGCCCTGCCCCTAAGCTCATGCCGCCTCCCGCTTTCCTACACAGGTTAGTCAGGGGCTTTCCGCTGTAAAAGACAGACGACCCAATTTAGGCTAGTTTAAACAAAAAAAAAAGAAAAGAAAAGAAGGAGAAGGAGAAGGAGAAGAGAAGGAGAAGGGGAAGGGGAAGGGGAAGGGGAAGGGGAAGGGGAAGGGGAAGAAGAAAGAATTGATTGGCGATTGGCTTATGTAAATGAAAAGCCTAGGGCATGCCTGCTTCAGGCGTGGATTTAGTGCCAGGGCCTCAGGGCTCACCATCTCAGCTTTGCTCTCTTCCATGTTAGCTGCACTTTCAGGCCTCTGTGAGACTCCAGCAGATCCAGGCTTGCAGCCTTCTGGCTCTAATTCCAGCAGAAAAACAGCCTCTCTTTGCCAGCCATTCCACCAAGCCTTGGGCCTGGCTTTGTTTGGCAGGATTGTGCCACCTGTCCATGCTGTTCTCGCAGCCACCGTGACTCGAGGGTGGGCCAGCTCCCTTTCTCTCGACCACTTTCTCGCCCTCCGTGGGGAACATGTGGGCACTCCTGGATCCTTTCTGTGTCACAGGCGGACTAAAGGTGACTCAGGGGCACCATCTCTAACTATTTCTCTGCAAAATTTGCCACATCAACGCTTTACTTTGCTGCAGCTCTCCTTTGCTGGCACAGGGCATCCTGTGGGGCACAGTCCCTCTCTGCTGTCAGCTTCCCCCTCAACCTATCTGGGATTTCTGTCTTCGTACCATCCCCCTCCCTAGGTCAAGATCAGGTGTCATATTCTTCCTAGACTCATCCCCTCCAGTTTCTTTCCCTCTCTTTCCCTCTTCCCTGAGGACTTCTATGCCATCTTCCATTCTGGAAGAGGCGTCCCCCCCTTTCTCCCTGTGGACTTTGGGTTTGAGTGGTACCTGCTGAGCCTTAAAGGAGGAAGGGGCTACAGCGAAGGAGAAAGAAAAACTTCCTACAGGGAAAACATATATGGGAAGTATATACCTCCCCATATATACTCAAGACTCTATATACTCAAGAGACCATTACTCCCATTAAATCTCTTTTCACTGTGATGAAGAGGTACGAAGTCACTCTGAAGCAGCTGGTGACCATCTGGCCAGCACCTGGAGAGACTGTGCCAGAGATTGTAGCTGACAGAGGAAAGCAAAGTCGAGACAAAGGCGGGCTTCTGCCATGCCTAAAACGAATATACCACTGGATTTTTCAAGTACACTTTCCAATAAACCCCCTACTTTTCCCCAAGCAAATTACAATTGAATTTTCCTGTCGCTTGCAACCAAGAGCATCCTAACTAGTGCAAGCCCCTTGCACAGTGCCTGGCACATCAGTTCTTGCAAAATAGCAACTATCATCATCATTATTCATCTGACAGAGGAGCAAGCCATGCCCATCAATGACTGTAAACAGAGCAGAAATGAAAAAGTGCAGTGCCGTGTGCTCAGAACTTTCCTCTCCCCTCCTATCCCCAGCCTGTTCCTTTGTCCTTTCAACACTCACATCTTGGCCCCCAACAAAACCCTCAAAATTCATTGAAAGCTGAGCCCATCCATCTTATACAAAGAGTCTGTGGCTCAACCAAGTCATGAATATTCTGCTAGGCAGCTTTGCTGCCATTTTACACAAGTAATCCCAGCCTAGACCATGAGCAGCCAGGAGCAGGTGCCCATCTTCAATTCAGTTTCGATTCATTAAGCAAAAATTGTACAAATATTTGCACAGCCTCCTTTGTCCTGCGCTGTAGACTTAGAGAAACAATGGGCTACTGCCCCTGCACATAAACGGACTTTGCCATGGGGAACGACAAAGAGTGTAGGACAGAGACTGAGGTAACAGATGACAATACCAGGGAATCCTCTAGGCGGGGGGTGGAGTGTTTTATTTGTACCATGTTCTAAGTTCCAAAGGCCTGTGCTGCCTGTAGTCCTGCCCTACAGTGGAATTTATACATCCACACAAAACGTACGTGTGTCCACCACAAATCCAGATTATAAATATTATTTTTAAATTCCATTTTGTTTCTCTGATTATAAAAGGAATACCCATTCCTTGTAGAAACTTGGAAAAATACAAAGTATACAAAAAAAATTTAAAAAAATGATCCATAATAGATTTCTGTTGATTAATATAGTAGAAAACATCAAACCAAGATATAAAGAGAGAAGATTGTCCCATCAACATTTCTGTCTCATTCCTGGCAACCCCAGGGCCTCAGGAGATAAATATCTTGCAAAAAGGTAAAGGTCATTTCTTAGGTCCTTGCAGAAATGCTGCACTCTCTCTAACACATCTATATTTTTTAAATATGCAATCCAGGCCTCCCAGCTCCAGGGTGGTCTGTTCCTATTATTTATGTATGCGTGATTCATTTTACTTACTACCAGCTGCAATCCCTTCTCCCCACCCCCAGCAGGCTTATTATACAAGTCCCTTCCCCCTCCTCAGAGCAATGAGGGAGGGAAAACTCATTTTCCCATATATCTGGGTGAAATTTAATTAGAAAGGCAAATCTGGAAGAACAGAACACAAAATAACCACATTAAATAAAAATAAGAGATGGTTCTGAACCTGACCTTGAGCCAAAAAATCACAAAGAACTATAGTAACTTGCTGAATCATAGATCTAGGATTGATTTTTGTCCTCTAAACTCTGAGCCCAAATGAAAAATATTTCTACAGTAAAAACAAACAAACAAAAACCAAGCACTAGACGAACTTATACAAATCACATTTAGAAATCTTAAAAGAAAAACAAGGTCCCTGGCTGTCTATTTCATCTAAAACAGTGCCTGACATATAGTAGGTACTTCATAAAAATTGGATGATTGGATGGATGGACCAAGAGTCCGCCCTTCTTGTTTTATGATGAGAAGCTAATGAGAGAGGAGATGAGAAGAGATTGGGAACTGACAGTGCTTTCTGCAGTCTCACCGCTGCTCGGGAGACAAACTGGAGGTCAGGGTCCATGAGAGAAATGGGGTCCAGGCAACAGCCCAGACTTCCCACTAGGACTCAAAGCAGAAAAGAACAGCCTTAAAGTGCCGGACGTCATTGCCAATGTAGAATGTTATGCCCATGGAGAGCAAGGATGGAGGGTAATCAACTTGTCCAAAATCAATCACAAAGTGAGATCCTGGGACAGCCAGGACTAGAATCTCCTGAACATTTCAGAGCCCTTTTCACTGAAGCACCATGTTTTCTTTACCACACACACACACACACACACACACACTCACTGGATGAAAAGAAAATAAAACATCTCATTATTCTCCAAAGAGGAGCAGAATAAATTTATCTTGGTCAGTTTGAATTTTTTAGAAATTGCATTCCAAAGCCACTTGGGTCACCATTTCTCTCAGTGTGTCCAGGTCACTTATATTCATGAACGCTGGCCTAGTTGACATGGGTTCTGAGTCCTCCAGCTCGGGCCTCCCTGTTGAGCAACAGACCAGAA